AATTTTCTCAATTGCTAACATAAATTAAAAACATGCTGCTATTTATATCAAAAAGGCGATTAAATCCGATCGAAAAAATCATAAATAATAAAAATAATATTTTTAATCATTTTCCGGCATCTCTATCGCAAAGAGTTTTCGCGTCACGCAAAATCTCCTTCTTTCATGGAAAGTTTATAATCTCGCTATTCTTTACAAAGGATATCCTGTCCCATCTTCATTTTTCGCGCGAAAATTTCTGCATCTCCGATAAAGATTAAAAAAATTGTTTCTTCGCTCCTTTTCGCAATGGATTTTCCACCGGTCTCCTCCATTTTCGCGGGAAGGATTCGCGCATCCGGTCTCCTTTTTGCGAAGGATCGCATGGCGCTTCGGCGGCCTGTCTTGGAGCGTTTTAGCCGGCCGGCGATCGTGCCGATTCCTCCTCTCATTGGCCGAGAACCGGCGGTTCTACCGGCTTGCTACCCGCTACAAGACTCTTTGTCCGTTTTTCGTTCGTCCCGACGAGCGACGCGACGAGACGAGACGGGCGGCGCGAGTTATACGAGAGTGCAGTCGGGGATCCTTCGGTCGTCGTGCCGGGTGCGATTATCGCGGGGCTCGCCTTCCAATTCGATCATCCCGATCCGTGCGTGCGTGCGTGCGTGCGTGCTCTCGTTGTCACTCTCTTCGATATATATTCGCGACAGCTCGCGCTAATTCGCATTTAGCGCTAACAATAAGCACAACCCCCGTTTGTCTTCGGCGGCAATTATTAATCTATATAGCGTCAGGTTTCGCACATACATGATCTTGTGGAAGAGACGAGAGTATCGTCTTATATGTCTAGGCGAAGAGTGAATTATCTTTTTTTCGTCTCCAATCGCAAAATGAGATTAACTGCTGTAGCTACGAGGTATTGGTATAACATTGATAAGAGCAGGTACGTTTAGCGAACATATAGTTCTTGTTTTCTCTCTTGGTGATCGGTTCAGATTACGATCAGAATGTGATCTCTTTGGTCGAAAGTATCGGAGCATGTAATAATTGCAAAATGTGAACATATCCGTTTTTTACGATTTCTCCTAGTTTATAAAGATACTGCGTTATGGTCAGAATTTTTTTTTTTTTAAAGAAGATATGAATATCTATCGTGTATGTCTTTTTTTTTTTTTTTTTTTTTGCAATAATTAAAATATCTAAAATTCTGTGTTATGGTCAGAATTTTTTTTTTTTAAAGAAAATATAAATATCTCTATCGTGTATGTCTTTTGTTTTTTTTTTTTTTTTTGCAATAATTAAAATATCTAAAATTCTGTGTTATGGTCAGAATTTTTTTTTTTTAAAGAAAATATAAATATCTCTATCGTGTATGTCTTTTGTTTTTTTTTTTTTTTTTGCAATAATTAAAATATCTAAAATTCTGTGTTATGGTCAGAATTTTTTTTTTTTAAAGAAAATATAAATATCTCTATCGTGTATGTCTTTTGTTTTTTTTTTTTTTTTTGCAATAATTAAAATATCTAAAATTCTGTGTTATGGTCAGAATTTTTTTTTTTTAAAGAAAATATAAATATCTCTATCGTGTATGTCTTTTGTTTTTTTTTTTTTTTTTGCAATAATTAAAATATCTAAAATTCTGTGTTATGGTCAGAATTTTTTTTTTTTAAAGAAAATATAAATATCTCTATCGTGTATGTCTTTTGTTTTTTTTTTTTTTTTTTTTTTTTTGCAATAATTAAGATATCTAAAATTATTGAGAAACTTTTTAATGTAATAAATTTATCGTGTAAAGTTTTTTTTCTTAACTTTTGTAATATTTTATACATGTATCTTAAACAATAGTGCATGCGTTTTAAATTATATTGTCCATATAAATTATCCAGAATATATATTTCACGATTTCTATATTTTGAATGTGCTACTGTTGTTTGAAATTAACCGACGTGAATATTTATTATGTATACGAAAGCATCTAACGATATCGCCCAAGGACGAAAGGCAAATACACAAGCTGGATAAAAACGATCGAGTAAACAAATTAGGTAGGCAGTTTATTGTACTTTAGTTACCAATAACAAATAATTCATTTAGAGGAGGAAAATAATTAAAACGATAAAAAAATTGTCTCAATAATTTTACACGAAATCATATAAAATTATTTATATCGATGTTATCGATTTTATATGTGTATGTGTGTGATATATTTAATTATTCAAATATTTTGGAAGATTAATTAAGCGAGGAGAAATGTTATCGAAAGATCTTGATTGCGCAGATCACAGAACGGAGATCGTAGAAGGCGCGTATCGATGGTGCAATCTGTTTTCGATCACCCGGTATATGCGAGACGGTTCTATTCTCCCGAGGATCTCGACTTCTTGCGACGACCTTCAGCGCCGTATCACGAAGCCGCCGAAGAGCATTGTCCTGTGATCGCGAGTACCGGCTTTTACTTCGCTCTTCGTGTGCATTTCGGAAAAATCGGAACCCAGACTTGGTTCGAAAGGGGCGGTCGTTAAGCGACTCTCGAGAAAAAATAGACGCGAAAGGGAATGCCCAGACAAACCTTGACCTTGAGTATACTTGCTATTCTGGCTCTTATGGTTCGCGATAGATTACGAATCTTTGCATTCGTCGTCTTTTCGTCTTCTCATTTCGCGACTTTACTTTATAAAGGGAATTTCTCCCAGAGCAATAAATCGTAATTAGAATAGTAATTAGTAGATCTCTATCTGAATCGGATTTTTTTTTATTCTCTCGATTCATCAAGTATGCACAAGGTCCTTAACGTTTCTACTTTTGAGTCGATTTATAATTATATCCTTCCTCGATATTAATTACTTCCCGCAATTAAGCCTCCCCAAATAACGTATACGTGATTTACTATGCAATATACAGGTGTATATGTAGGATACACGCGTCTCTTTCTCTCATAGAATTTCTCCCACAAAGATAATTATACGTTAACGTATATACTAATTATTCTTCGATATAAATCTGACATCTACATGCGCGATACAAGTTATAAATTAATTTTCGTTTATTGTGTGTGATTAAAAAAAAAAATAAATTATTCAAGGTTTGTCTCATCAATTTTTACGCGAAGCAAGAACCTTTCGCGTCCGCGAATGATCATCAGTCTCGCTATAATATAAGTTGCGTTTTACGTTATGCGATCGAAAAAGTCGTCCGTATCGAAAAGGAAATCGGCTCGAGACCGGCCGAGGGAATGGAACCCCTCTAGACGGGACGCACGTATGTTCGCCTCGCCTCGCCTCGCCTCACGCGCGGACACCGCTTCGGTCAAGGTCGCAGTCTGCGCGCTTAACGTTCTTTTTGCACGTTCTCTTTCCCGGCTTGTACCCGGTGTCCCGAGTGAAATCGATCGACGTCGGTTTGCGAATCGACCGACAAAAGTATGGGTTCAACAGTATTTGTAATTAATACGACGATATCTTGGGCAACGCTTTTCTACAGATCGTCACTCTCTTTTCGCGCTTTAATTTTTCAAGGAAGTTTTCCCTTGAATATTTGCCATCTCTTTTGTTCCTTTTCAAAAGTCTTTCTACGCAACGTTCACTAAGAAAATATATATATGTGTGTGTGTGTGATTAAATTTTTATAATTGTAATTATTCAAGAGAGTTATTTTACCGTAGCAACAGACTTGCGACAATTCGATACAGACGAGACAATAAGATTGGAAATATTCGTCCGCTACGAAAGTAGTATCAAATATTACTGTAAAAAAATCCCTTGGGTACATGCGTTTAGAATTTATATTTTTATAATGTCTATAGCGAGAATTTTCGAGCGAATTTCTCGATATGTGACCTGCGATTTCCGATGCACCAAAGCGTGACGTCTAAGGCGCTTCGATTGTATTACGGCGGCGATATGGAAAATTTTTTTTTTTTTCACGAGTACAATGAATTTTAATACGCGTCTCAAGGCCCGTCGACGAAGGTACGTATATATAAAGCGTATATGAAGCAGGATTATACGAGACTATATATATGTATATATAATATATATACATATATACAGGATACTGTGTCGAGGCTTGGTAACTCCACCACCGTTGGCGGAATTCGACGGCCAATGGGGTACGAGTTTCCTTCTCTCGGCGCGAGAGGCACAGCTCGTATTACATATTTACAATGCACCGACGTTTTAAAATCTTTCAAGAGCATGTATATATACCTGTCGCTATCGCGCGATACCGAGAGTACGCGCGAGAGGATGTGAGTACCTTACCAAGTATCGCTACCGCGGTTAAGTACGATTCTCGAGTATGGCGAATTTTTCGATAACGCGGTGCGAGCTTGAGGGAGGAAAACGGATAGGGTAAAAATATCCAACACTGGTTGACAAAAATATATCTGTGTTTGTAATGTCGACGAGCGCGCGAAAGAGAAGTCTCGTGGTATTTAACACAACGAAAGAAATAAAATAATGGAGAGAGCATATAAATACCTATTATATCCATCTCTAATATAAAGTTAGATAATATTTAATAATATTTAATTTGCTATTTTTAATAATGTTTATTTTCTTTATTTTATTCAATATTTCAATTAATACATACCTATATACATATATCGCGCAGAGTCGTCAATCGATGGTTAAATGTATTGACAGATCGCGACACGTGTTTAGAAAATATAGAAATGATCTCGTCGTTTTTTTTCTATTAATTCGCAAGAATATTAGAACGATTATGGTCATCATATTTATTTCTAAATAAAAAAATCCTTTTCCCTTATGATACATTATTTAATATTTATATATACATCAGTTTTAAATTTACATTACGCTTATATTTAAATAACTTCGCGCATACATTACGTCAGTCCAGAGAGCAGCGATTAAAAATTAACGATAAACAAAATTTCTGCAATATCGATCGTTGACACGTATCGACCGAGTAATCCGCGACGATTACCATGTGACAACTCGCGACTTAGTTCCTTGGCTTCCGCGAGGGCGCGCTGTTCGGTTCCCATCCCACCGCGATTGCGCAATGCACAGTTCGCAGATGTTCACGAAGTAGCGTCGTTGACGCGTGCGAGAGGTGTAGTGTTTTGGATGTCGTTGTCATACGCGACGGCGGCAGGCATGTCCAGCGCCTTGACGGTTACCCTGTTGCTCGTCGTCGTACTGGCAGATTTGGGTTATTCCACGCGACGCACTGTGAGTACAAATTTATTCCATCGGATTGTAAAAAAAAAAAACGAAAACGATCGGTCGCTTCGGCGAGCAACACAATCGAACGTAACACAAAGAAACATGATCGCGTGTACGTGATTCATCGCACGACTTTGGACTCTTTCGAAGCGCATTTGAGACCTTGGGTTTTGTGTACGGTCTTTGTGTGCTCGTGTTATTGACAGCGATTCGAGAGGAAGGGCCACTTTGTTTATGAATAACTTGTATATTAACCTCTTTGCTTTTTTTTCGATCAAAGTAGCTCCGAGATTTCGATCGTTCGAGGAAGTGTGCGTTCCTATAACGTCGCGCATAGAAGCTTATTATGATTTCGTTCATTAATAAACAGGTGGATTCATTGATAAATTGGCTGCTCTCGCGTAATGGCTGATCGGATAAGTGCCGACCAAGTGCGACCTAAATCGCTCGAGATCTAAGGGCACGGTCGATCGTAAATTATAATGCGCGGCGTAGGAAGTACGTGGACGTTTAATTAAAATTATTAATGATAATGCGGATTAAAGCGATATTTTCGGTTTTATTTCCGTTTTTAAATTTTACATTGCAAATATAAACTGTATGCATAAACTCGATATATAAACGCATAACGTAATATTTTGATACATGAAACTTAGTTTGCAGTTTTGGTAATCTTATCCAATGTTTTATTTCTCTTGTGTTTATTGACTTTGTCTTTCGCATAACTTTTGCAACAGATTATTTATTACTTATACGATACAATTACATTATCAATATTTTTATATAAATATTGATAATTAAAAGATATCAATATCAAAATAATAATATTAAAAGAAAAATATTAAAAGCGTGAAATAATAAATTTCTCATTAATTGCAAATAATGAGGTTGATCTGTAAATTGTTATTAATTATACTTATAAATTGTTAAAATATTCGTTGCATTTTAACATATTCGCGATTGCGTTTCGATGCTATACCTAACGTCTTAAATTTATAATAAACTTGAATATCGATTCCAAGAGTGAATTAATAAATAAATATAGACCAACGCGAAGCACGCGGCACGCGCGATATAACTGTGTTAAGGCTCTCTTGAAAACGGAATAAGAAAATCTGTCGCATGCGAAATATATTCATTGTCTGTGTAACACGTCAAAAGATATCATTCGTGAATTCTAAAACGAGCAAAAATGAAATTTGTACATAGATAACTTTCGCATATATGCACGAGTAATGTATGTAAAAATAATAATCTATAATTATTATAATCAATAATATATAATTATTCCGTTGTAAAATAAAATTTTATCGATATATTACGATAAAATATAGCTGAGTTTCACATCAAACGCTCTTGTAACTTTCCGACTTTTTTTGTTTCGAAATGGAAAGATAAGATGCAATTTATTTCGCGTTTCGCACGGGCATGAATACGAGTCTACGGATCAATCATAGATTATCGTAACATCGTGTAATAAATGACATGCGGTCATTGTGTAAGCTCCGTGGGGGCTCGTAGGAACGTTGCAAGGCCGTCGGCCACGCAATCCGGCTCTGATCTAGGTCATCCATCCGTTAAGCGTCGTCTATAATCGATTTATAAAACGCTCGATTTATTCTGTATCAGTTACGATTGAAGCTGAATCCAGATTGCGACGATATCTGCCGAGAACGAAACGGGACGACGCTTCACCTGAGTGCCGATGGACCGAATGACACGTTGCATTACTTATGGGATTTCATCGGCACTCCGTCCGTATTGCTGGCGCTTACGCCTCCGTCCACCTCGCTTAACATCAGCTGGGAAGATTATCTCGCGAGGCGAGAGAACTCGTTACATTTTTCGGAGGCACCCACCTACTCCTTCGGCGTGATAATAAATAAGGTAACTGTTTCTTGTACTTCCCGGTGTCTGACAATTGATTGCACAGTCGATCAGGTGAGTTGATGTGTCGAGCGTGCAAAGTATATTTTGTCATGTTAGTGTGACAAATTATAAAACGTATTAGGAAATAGATGAAATTAAAGAACGCGAAAATAATTTTTTATTTCTCCAAGTCATCAATCGAAATAATTGTTTTTGCCAAAAAACGTGTTTAATTAATTCTGAGCTTCTCCGAGAAGCTGAGTGAGTGTGAAACATTGATTCCATTCGATAAAATTTAAATAAGCGACAAGATATATGCAAAAAAAAAGTTCATGAATATGTTGACAACATTTTTGACAGTTGTGATTGGTAGAGTTTGATAGAATGCACGAATTAAATATAGAAATTTGTTAAATATAGAAATATAGAAATTTGTTAACGTAACTATACTGAGACATACACGTGTATGAGAATATGTAAAAATAGTACGTTAACAATACTTGTTACTATGATTTATTTTTCCCTCAAATTAGAGCATAAATCCTTGTGAGTGACATAAATCCACTCATCGCAGTCTCCTTCGCCGAATGCGGAGGGTACATCTGCGGTTTCTTAATTAAACCTTAGCACTTCAATGTCTCCACTTTGTAGAAACCTCCTTAAGTCGAGTGCCTTCTCTCTATATATCTCTTTCTGAGAATACACACACGTATCTCTCTGTACGATTTTGTTACGTTGAAATATATGTTTTAACGTTTTCATGTAGCAAAGCACAAAATTTGAATGCTGTATAAATTTAAATTAAATTAACTTAAATTTTTAATAAAATTTAGAGTATGTTATGATACCAGAATATTTTCATTTCTCGTCCAATAAATTAATTCTGTATTATTAGGATATGAAACAGATTTCGAATGCGCGAGATTAATCCTTCGCATTGCAAAATACATAATTGACGATTGAAAATCGTTTCACGTTATTCGGTTGATGGGATTAATGTCCGCGTACAAAGCAGGATGCCCATAGCAATAAGCAAACAAATTTCTGCGTGATCGATCAAATGCATTTATCGAAAATTTTGAACGCGATACGTCAATATCAACGAGATTGTGGTTTAATTCAGTTTATTTTATTTAATGTGCAATCTCGCGCGTACGAGAGATTTTAATTATATTTATCTAGATTTAATTGTGCGCACTGTCGAATAATCCGATATTTTGCCAAGTAACTACTTATTACGATTTTTACATCAGTAATGAAATGGTGTTTATACATAGATTGTTGAATAATGCTACAATGAATTGCATTACATTGTGTTGCAGATTATCGAATTCAACGATGTAAATGACACGGCACTGATTAACACTGCCGACGTCGCTAATACGAACATTTTGCATCTCGAGTATTTCAACTGGCAGCGCGTGTCCTTAACGCAAAACAGCGACTACATCTACCTGGACATGGAGGGTAACAATTATAACGATACAGCTAAACATATCAGCAGATTTGGGAGTATAAAGCTTTCGGTAAAGTATTTTGCAGCATTGAAGAGAAAATATCGGTAGTGTGTAGTCAAAAAGCATGCAAAAAAATGTCATTTATTTCTCAATTATAACAGTCAAGTGAGAACAGATTCCATTTTGAGCCTGAACTAACAAATATCCAACTTCCTTATCTTTTCCTTGTGGTTCAAAACGCTTGTATCTTTGTCCTAAACGCTATAAATGTTTGTACTTTTCTTCAAAGCGCTAATATCTTTTTCCATTGTTTTTCAGCTCCGAGGATTTTGCACTCTCGATCATTCGAATACAGTGCCTCATATGTTGCACACGGAGAATTCTACGCAAATAGACATCATCCTGGATCACATGCAGACCAACGAAACGTTTTCCAACAGTAGATTCGCTATTGAATTGCTCGTGGTTGGTGGTGGTGATCCTGAAGTACTAATGTTTGTTGATCCAAAAAAGAGTCTGGATGACGAGCATACACCAGGTATATTCGAGGTAATGAATTACAGGCGTTTATCATTTTAATCGATTCATTGCTTTTTCGTATTTTTTTTATAATTGAAAGTTTTATTATAACGTTTATTTTTTATTATTATTTTCTTCAGATTGTCGAAGTTAGAACGCCACCCTACAGAGAACTGGACACATTAAATAGCGGAGCATATTTGCAATGGCGACCGGTGTCGTACGATAGCGCGTCACGCGATGTAACCAGTTCTACAGAGACAATGCAATACCCACCGAGAAAAATTATATCCAATTATACGAGCGCTGTTGAAAATTCGATGCTATATTGTTATTATGGGAGGAATGTGACGAATCTTCTCCAACAAAAGTTAATGATTTCTTTGGGTTCGAAAGGGGACGGTTTTTACAAGAAGACGAATTATTTGACATGGTGAGTTGTTAATTGCATTTTTTACCAATTCTCGATTTTTATTCTGAAAATTCTATAGCGAGTCCTAAAAAAATGAGGGAATTTATATAATCTCTTTGAAAGATGAAATATTACGTTCTAATCTTATATTGCAGGACTTTCATAATTGGTTACGGTACACCACCCGAGGAGAGATTCTCTTCTCTAGTCATTATGATTATCTCGATTGGCCTCGGCCTTCCTTTGCTCATTATGGTCATCACTGGTCTGTATCTTTGCATTCGTAGAATGCCGAAGCGACATGGCAACGTTTATTTAAGCCGATGATGAGCTAGACGCACGTGCCATATAGTTTTTGCGTACGTTGCGCGTTTATCGCTATATATCATATGTATCACCACTGTTCTACACAAAGATATTCCTATATTTATATGCGACACATATATGTATATTTTTACACGAACTGTTATCTTGGATGTGTGACATCAGTGTGATAAGCATGAGTGATAATCTGTTCTCTCACAACTTATTTAGCATTGAGCGAGGCATTAATGTGGTTGCTTAGTTTTTTATTTTAATATCTTAGGATAATATGTATGTGAGAGATATAAATATCGTGCGCGTTGACATTCGATGCGAACATAGAATCAACCACATTTGTTTCTTTGAATATGCTATGAGAGAACAGTGTGTTAATTTATGCAATAAAACGTTGAATTTTTCTAGATAATTTGTAATTGAATGCCGTGTGTGTGTGTGTGTGTGCGTGTGTGCGTGTGCGTGTGTGTGTGTGTGTGCATGTGTGTGTGCGCGCGCGCGCGTGCGTGCATGATCTATGAAATATATATCTTGCAACAAGAGTACTACATTTTATGTGGTCCCTTTATGACTTTCCTACCTTTTTCATCATCAAAATGAAATATGATAATATCTCGCTATATATATTTCATTTCATGTATCCGCATGTTTTTATATTTCCATACGCGTGAAACATTTATGAAAACTCATATACATTTCCCTCTTAATTTACATACAACTTTACGCGCTCTCTTATTCATACGATCTTTCATTCTTATATTTTTTTTTACATATGCAAATGTATACTTTTTTATTAGTATCATATGTAAAAGGTACATGACGTCTTATTTACGAATTTTAAAGCGAAAACCTCAAGAAGAGAATTCTATGCTCCAAGTATTTTCAGTCCGCGAAAAGGGAAAGCTAGTCACGTATGAAAAAGGATTCGAAAACGAGGGGCGGACAAAGACACGTGTGTGTCAGGGCGCGACACGGTGATGATCCTCGTGGACGAGCTTACTGAAACCCGTGGGTATGGTCGGAGAATATCGTAGAGAAAGAGTGCGAGCAAATGTTTTCAGACAGTGGTAGTAAAAAGTGGCGCGGTATGGTACCGTGGTCCCACTGCTGTCGCGGGGGCGGCGCGGCGGCACGTCCACGACACCGTGGTGGAGGGGTACGTTTTCATTGATCCACCCCGTGCTACGGAACCGCACCACGCAAGCACTTACAAGCCCTGAACGGAGCATTGATCTCGCCCCGTCTCGGTGATACTTGGCGTCGCTTCGCCACGAAGGCGAAGGCTCGCGTTCGCCCGAGACAGAGAAATCGCGTTTCGCGCCCCGCAGCGTACGAATCGTCTTCGGGCTGTGTCGCGCTGTCGGCTACAAACGACGACGGCTTTACGGGGCGGTCGACGGTGCGGCGGGGGTAGCTCGCGTAGCGGATCGCGAATGGGGTATAGAGGGTGTAAAACGGGGCGCCCCGTGACTAGTTGCCGCGGAATCCGCTGCGCGAAAGACTGGCGCGTGGCGATGCAGTAAGGTTCGCGTTGGTTCGACTCGTCACCACGACAGTCGGTATCGAGGAGAGAGTCGCTTTCGCGGTACCCTGAAGACGCATTGCCGAGGGAGAAGGAACACCACAAGGGAAAAGTAAAAAGTACGCGTAAAAGGGTGGTGGACTCGCCGAGAGTGTCGACGAGAGATACTCGCGCGTGAACAGAGGCCTAGGCCTGGCTTTTACCAACGAGCGACCCTTTGTGCCGGCCGCGTTGTTCCAAGGGAGGAGAGACGTCGGGACGCCGAGGAGGGAAAAGAGCGAAGGAGGGTTGAACGAGAAAGAGAGGGAGTGGGCGAAAGAGTGGTGGTGGTAGGTGGGAGAGGTAGCGAAGGAGGACGCAGCGTTCGAGATAGAAAGAGAGAGAGGTCGCTAAGGGAGGATTGGAGCGAGAGGGACGAGGAGAACGGATCGTTCGCGCGCGCGCGCGCGTGATCGGCCGTGTCCGACCGTATGCGTGTATATGAGTGTATACTCGCGCGCGCGCGCGTGTGTGTATGGTCGAGCGTGCAGCGGTGAGAGTCGACGAAAGAACAAAGGGAGTGGAAAAGAAGGATCCGCCGGACCCTCGTAGGCAGTTAAGGGCGCGAGAACGGCGACAAGTGGTAGCGCGAAGTGGTATCCCCCTAATCGGATCGCAAGGAGAGTAGCCCCGCGTCAACACGGGCGACGCGGCGGTCGGACACGAACGCGTCGACGGGCCTGTCCCCGAGGAAGGGACCGTCGCGCGCAACGCGATCAATTTTCGTTGCGGCGCGCGGGCGGCTAGTAGGACCGTAGGACGGACGCGAGACGAAATGACGAGACAACCGAGGTACCGATAACCGGCCGGATAATGTTGTCGCAGAGCAAGTTTTACGCTCTCTTTATCCACTACACTTTCGTGTAGCGCGACACGGGGCGGGTCCTTGCCGCTGCGGTGAAGAATAGCGAAGGAGGAGGCGTAGGAGAAGAAGAAGGAGGAAGAGGATAGTGAAGGAGACTAGAGAGAACGGAAGGAAGAGACAGAAGGGCAAAGATTCCAAGATTCGAACGCGAAAGGCGTCTCGTACAACCGCGTAGCTGCCATCGACGTTCGAAGCAGGCGAAAAAGAAAAGCGGGATTCCAAGTGGAAGAAACAGACACGGGCCGGTACACACACGTACGTACGTGCTGTGTATGTATGCAGGGGAAAAGACCATCGCGCGACGCGAAATCCGAGTAGAATCGCTGCCACGTCGGTCGTTCTTCTTCTGCATCGTCGATGTGAAAAGTGTATCTCATTGTCAGTGTGTTGTCGCACGGTGCTCGGTTGTGCTACCCTTATCTCGAGGCTGAACGAGCAAGGCCCGCGGAGGTACCCCAGAACCCGCCCCCCTCTCTCCCCTCGACGTCGCAGTGCCTCTCTTCTCTCCATATCGCTACGTCACGCTTCTCTTTTACGTTCGCAGCGGTGACTATCTACGTTGGAGAGTGTTCGACCTCCTCAACCGTAAGTGTCACTCGTGTAATGTTACGTGTGTCTTTTACTCAGACGACACAGAAGCATCTGGAAAAGAATCGTCGAAAATTCTTTCCAGATGTTTTCTAAAAGTTTTCAAGTCATTTAAACGGTTAATTCGCTTCTACGTTTCACGGATCTCTCGTCAGCTGTAGAAAATAAATTTGTTAGGGATGATATGCGGGAGAAACTTGATTCATATTTTCATATGAAAATATTCCACACGTTTTGAGAAAACTCGCCGTCTTTCTCAAATCAAATCATACGAGTTGCCTCAAAGTGTTGTACATACGATGTCTGATTTTTTTGACGCGTGATAGAGTTATAGAGAGATGGCTCTCGACACAAGATGTGAGGAAATTTGCGATGCAGAATTATGCTAAGATACGCGAGGAATTGCATACAAACTTTTCGCAAACTCTGGTATTTTAGACGAAGATCATTTATATACTACAATTTTTATATAAAAATGCCATATATCGACATTTCCATTTCGTTCGATCGTTGTAGCAATTGTTTCGCGCAAAATTCCTATTATTAGGAATTTTGATTTAATATATTTTAAAAATATAAGATGCGTATATATCGGTTACAATTTAACATGATGGACTGTTTGACATTCATAGTAGAACCAGGGGCGTAGCTATTTTAAATATAGCACAAGCAAGCGAAGTGCAGAATCATGCGGCGAATACGAGGGCGTACATTATAATCATACATATTAATAAGATAATGGTTGGCATAATGTGGCTAATGATATATCGCGTATAACTGGCGCGTTTAAAATGAAAGCAAAATCAGTTTGGCATTTAGTGTCAAGAAAAATATAAAGGAAATTAAATTAATTTTTTTCATTGAAAATTGATAAAAACCAATATTTTCCGGTGCGAAGAAAAAAATCAAATATCTAGAGCAGCAATCTTCTACTTTATTTTTTTCAAGCTAGTTTTATTCATATTATTTGGAATCTTGACGCGAAATCTGAAAAATGGCATTCGAATACGTGTATTATTATTCCTTCTTCGTTTAGAAAATGCGCTAGATATCGCGGAAAAACACGAGGTATCAACGTTACATAATGTTGCAGTATTGCAACATCGAAGGGTTTCTTGTGGAAAGTAAAAGAGATCACGTATGACAGTCGGCGCGATGATTCAAGTGAGGCGAGTCAGCCGCGGGCCAGACGTTACGTTCGACCAGTCGTTGATTCGACTACTTGGAGTGACGCGTGCGAGCGATGCGGCGCTTCGAGCTGCATCGAGCTGCACGTTTTTTATGCACGTCGTCGTTTACGGTTCGCGGTAACGAGGCCTCGATTACGAGGCCCGATAGGACGGCAATCGAATCGCTAAGGTGTATGCCACACATCTGTGTGTTGTCCCGTACATATGTACATACGTATATATCATATATCGTGCACGTACGTAGCGTGACGCACGGCTCTGCCGTGGTGGCTGCCATTCTCGATATATCGATCGACGCTACCGCGGTTCAGGGATCGGTCGCGCGGGCGACGATGGTGATCAGCGCGAGGACTGTCCTGATGCGTCCCAGGATCGGCTTTACATATAGAGAGATGTGGCTTTTACGGAACGATATCAATCAATAACGCACGTCTGAGAAAGCCTTCTCGCACATCTTCGACTAATAAACTATAATCCATATTCACAAGGTAAAAGTGACAAGTATGATACAAGAGGTCTGTGTTCTGTTTATAGGCCTGTTTTTTTATAGTTTCCAACTTAAGAAAATATATATATATGTATATATATGTATATATTAGAGAGGGAGGAAGAAAAAAAGATCACAGAAATTATATGTATAATTTTATAAATAAGTATATAAAGAATGTTATAATGTTTTGCTTAAAAATATTTTCTGAATAAGCAAGTCTCTCTCTCTCTCTCTCTTTCTCGTAGCGTAATATTACACTTGGAGAACATTCAGAACTTACAGTGTTTAGTATAATGGATATTATACTTACACTGTGAACTTGGATGTTCCAAGGCTGGCGCGTGTCTAGTAGAGCAGTAAATCTCAGACACTATTGTAATTTTGATAAATTAATAATTTTTAGAAATAATTTTCATACTCTCTTTTATTTTAATCGACAATTCCTGTGTTTAGATATATCGAACTCTGGTAGCTATTATAGAATTATTGAAATTAAAATTGATATATATAATCTGTTTTACGAATAAATATAAGAGAAAGAGAGAGATAGACAGAAATTGAAAAAATATAGTAACTAGAAATATTTTAGATCGTTATCTGGATGGTATTAATGAGAAAAGAATTAGAAGAAATTATTATAAAATCTTTCATCAAAGAATTTATTATAAAATCTTGAAAATTTTAACTGACGAGATAAAACACCACAATTTTAGCCACGATTTGCA